CACAGAACAGATGATACAAAAGCTTGGCAGGATAAAGCAAATAAACTTGCTGAACTGTTGAGCACCAGGCTGTGCCAAATCCTCCTAAAACAGGCACTGCAGCACAACTGCTCAAATATATGCAGAGATGCATCAGTGTCTGTCAATGCTGCCTGTTAGTGCATCGTGGTGTGTGTGGTGTGTGTGTGGTGTGGTGTGGTGTGGTGTGTTTTGAGGTGTGGTCTGGGTGCAATGCAGTGCTGGACTGACCCACGTCACTAGTGGGACCACCTCTCCTCATCTGTGACTGCGCTTGCCAATACTGTACTGAGAAGGAGAGTGAGGAGGAAAGCACTGCAGATTCTGGGTGTTGCCTTTCAGGTCCTGGACAGAGGGTAAAGGTCAGGTGACACTGACAGCAATGGAGCTAGACTGCTTCTAAACAGAATGCAGTGTCTTTTGCACCAAATGCATGGCAAATAAATCACATGCAACTCAAGATAGTCCTGTTTTTACTGGTCGCAGTGAAACGGCAGAATATGAGAGTGAGGCAGGTGTCCCGATACAGTCGTATAATGGAAATGACAATAAAAGCTGACGCAGACCTAGAGGATATTAATCATCTTGGCTCAGTGGCCTTAGACGTATTCTCTCTGTGTGTGTGTGTGTGTGTGTGTGTGTGTGTGTGTGTGTGTGTGTGTGTGTGTGTGTGTGTGTGTGTGTGTGTGTGTGTGTGTGTGTGTGTGTGTGTGTGTGTGTGTGTGTGTGTGTGTGTGTGTGTGTGTGTGTGTGTGTGTGTGTGTCTGCCACACATGCATTTGTGGGAGATTTATATCCACTGCAGTAATGAAGTTACACTCGTTCTTTGGCAGAAGCATTAAACACCTAAGAGCTCTGCAGCAGCGGATGATGATACAATCTTACCTCAGACACCACCGTATCATATGCACAAAGTGAAAATGCTCATTATTCCCTGTGTATTTTTTCCCAAATGTGTATTTACAATGATAAAAGACAAGATCATTTTTGTTATTAAATCCTCCTGTTTATATATTTTTGAATTTGTGCACATACCTCTGGTGAAATAAAGCTGTTGTTGTTGTTGTTGTTGTTGTTTTTACACAATTAATATTTTTCTTTAAACAGAAAGTAGATTAAAAAATACTTATAATCTACGAACAAAATACATTTACACAAAAGGACATTTAAATAAAAGAAACGATCGCTTAAAACTATTACAACAACATTTATAATTCTACGGGTTTTAAATTCACTAAAAGCAATTACTGTACATCTTTTAAAAAATGCAAATTGTTTCAAAAAAAGGCACTGAAAGCCTGAGCTTTAGAAACATTTAACCCCTGCGAGTCCTGCATTATTCAGGTGATTCTTGCTGTTACACCAATAGGAGGCGCTCTGCACACACACACACACACACACACACACACGACAGATGGACACAGTGGGACCCAGAGGACAGACATCGTTCTCAAACATGACAAAGAAAGATTCTTGTTTCAAGGTGTGTTCGTTTAAAGAGACATTTGAACATAGAAGGGTCATTGGAACATCCACAGTAGCGCGATCAGATTATCAACTATTGATTTTGTCTCTTGTTAGTGAAATATTGTTGTTGGCAGTGTTAATAGTTCATTAGGTTACTGTTGTAGTGATTTGAGTTCGAAAGCTGATCGATACAGTGGTCATATCATGAGGAATCATTTCAACTTCCATTTCAATTTCAACCCAGAATGACTTGAAAACATACTGTAACTTTAAAAACTCTTTAGTCCAAAAAGAGCATTTATTCAAACTAAGCTGTAAAAATGGGTCATTCTGCAGACAGGTGAAAACATTAACACACTCCTAAATTTGACTGCAAATTAACGCCTGTCAAAAATATGGCCCATCCAGACACAATCAGACAATAATGATAACGAACTAAGAGTAAAATGTGTAAATCTGCTATGCTCCAGATCATTTCAGTCTGATAGGAACATTTCCGCACAGACTGTGAAGCAGCTTTATGAATCTGTCTTGGAAGGATGGGGAAGTTAAACACTGACAGCAAACTCACAGCCCGGGTCTGAGCGGAACTGAGCACTTTCATTAACTAAATAAAGTAGGACTGCTTTAGTACTCAAAAAAGAGTTTATCATTAAAAAGACCTAGATAAAAAATTACAATAAAATTACTATTAAATAATAATAAAAATGATATTTTAATATGATAAAATATCATAAGTGACAACTATGTAACATAAGTAAGAACTTTAAATAACAAATGAGGGTTCTTTTTTTCTTTTGACCATGTGGCACAAAATCTCATCTCAACACTTATGATGAACGGCTATGCTCTTCTTTATTTTCTCATTTCATCTGAATGTCAACATTTGTAAATTTAAGGGTAGGGAGACCGGGGACGGTTGTAACACTTTTTTCTTCAGCACCTAAAACGACCTTTTTTTTTTAGCTACACGTCTGAAACTTTTAGGCAAAGTACCCATATTTGTCTACTACAAATGGCAACAATTTAAATTTCTTCAAAATATATCACAGACTTTGTGAGATGATCATGAATACAAGGTGGTCCTTTGTTACAACCTACCCCACTACTGGGGTAGGTTGTAACACATACTGGGGTAAGTTGTAACAGGTAGACAAAATGCACAAAAACTAAGGGTATTCCAAGTGATATGCCACAACATCATTTTTATTTTAAATGAATGGCTGCAACAATAAAATATGTGTGAATATGGGGGGTGTATGTGCATATTTCGTGTTTGTGCATGTGTAAACAATGGTGACAAGAACAAACAAATGAAATGCATTTTTAAGTCACAATGGTGAAAAAGAACAAAGAAATGAAATGCATTTTAAGTCACAATGGTGACAAGAACAAACAAATGAAATGCATTTTACGTCACAATGGTGACAAGAACAAACAAATGAAATGCATTTTACGTCACAATGGACTTATACACTAACACAATAACACTTTCAAAACACGTGTTACAACCTACCCCGCCACTGTCACAATTGTTTAACTAGCTGTATTAGCATGGTGCTTTGAAATTACCAGGAGATTGATACACCATTCTTTACTATAGAAACTACAGTTTGACCTGATATAACTCATACAACATTATCTACAACGGTAGAAGTACTAAACAAAATATTATCTTGTTATGTTTTTTTATTTTCTTATCTCAGAATTAGATTTTCTGCTGTAGCTTCAGGAGAGATTGCAACAAAGACTTGAAAACCTCCGTGTGAGATCGTAAAGGAAGCCTGAGGAAACTGAAACTGTCACATGACTCCTATCTTATCCCTGATTGGTGGAATTGGTAGTGTTACAACTAGCCCCGTGTTACAACCGTTCCCGGTCTCCCCCTACGTTTAGATGACAACGATACTAAAAACATTGCGTTTTTTTGTACAGATGACAACATTGTCAAAATGATACCTGATCACGCAGATTTACAAAAACGGCTGCATTATTCATGCCAGGCCAGGTGGCGATGTCACTTTGAGTAGAAACGCTACACGCCTATAGACGGAACATGTAATACACATGCGCATGATGTCACCATTTCACAAATTTGCATTTTTGTAGTTTACACAGAGACAATAATGGTATTGTTTTCAAAAACATGCACTTTGAAACCCATTTTAAAACGTTTTTGTTTTCAGGCCCTCAAAACGCCATTGTCTTGTAAAAAGAATAACAATATAATTTAAAAAAGAATATAATTTGTGCTAAATGTTTTTATTTCCCTTATTAAAACATTGAGAGTTAAACATAGCAATATAAATATAATTGAAAAGTAAATGCACGTTGTTCTATCATACAGTCTTAAAAATAAAGGTCCAAAAAGGAGGTTTTCGTATTCCAAAGAACAATTTTTGGTTCTTTCCTCAAAGAACTTTTTTGTTTTGTTTTTTACTGTGAAGAATTTCAAAATTCTAAATAACTTTTTCCACTATAAAGAACTTTGTGTGGAATGGAAAGGTTCTGTGAATGTCACTCACAGCACAGGTTCTTCATGGAACTGAAAATGCGTTAAGAGTGTATAGGTCCTTCTAAAAAAATTAGCATATTGTGATAAAGATGATAAAAATTATAAAATAATTAAAAGTTTAAAATGATCAAAATTAAACTTTCATATATTTTAGATTCATTGCACACCAACTGAAATATTTCAGGTCTTTTATTGTTTTAATACTGATGATTTTGGCATACAGCTCATGAAAACCCAAAATTCCTGTCTCAAAAAATTAGCATATCATGAAAAGGGTCTCTAAACGAGCTATTAACCTAATCATCTGAATCAACTAATTAACTCTAAACACCTGCAAAAGATTCCTGAGGCTTTTAAAAACTCCCAGCCTGTTTCATTACTCAAAACCGCAATCATGGGTAAGACTGCCGACCTGACTGCTGTCCAGAAGGCCATCATTGACACCCTCAAGCAAGAGGGTAAGACAGAAAGAAATTTCTGAACAAATAGGCTGTTCCCAGAGTGCTGTATCAAGGCACCTCTGTGGGAAGGAAAAACTGTGGTAAAAAAACGCTGCACAACGAGAAGAGGTGACCGGACCCTGAGGAAGATTGTGGAGAAGGACCGATTCCAGACCTTGGGGGACCTGCGGAAGCAGTGGACTGAGTCTGGAGTAGAAACATCCAGAGCCACCGTGCACAGGCGTGTGCAGGAAATGGGCTACAGGTGCCGCATTCCCCAGGTCAAGCCACTTTTGAACCAGAAACAGCGGCAGAAGCGCCTGACCTGGGCTACAGAGAAGCAGCACTGGTCTGTTGCTCAGTTTTGCATGTCATTCGGAAATCAAGGTGCCAGAGTCTGGAGGAAGACTGGGGAGAAGGAAATGCCAAAATGCCTGAAGTCCAGTGTCAAGTACCCACAGTCAGTGATGGTCTGGGGTGCCATGTCAGCTGCTGGTGTTGGTCCACTGTGTTTTATCAAGGGCAGGGTCAATGCAGCTAGCTATCAGGAGATTTTGGAGCACTTCATGCTTCCATCTGCTGAAAAGCTTTATGGAGATTTTCATTTTTCAGCACGACCTGGCACCTGCTCACACACAGTGCCAAAACCACTGGTAAATGGTTTACTGACCATGGTATTACTGTGCTCAATTGGCCTGCCAACTCTCCTGACCTGAACCCCATAGAGAATCTGTGAGATATTGTGAAGAGAAAGTTGAGAGACGCAAGACCCAACACTCTGGATGAGCTTAAGGCCGCTATCGAAGCATCCTGGGCCTCCATAACACCTCAGCAGTGCCACAGGCTGATTGCCTCCATGCCACGCCGTATTAAAGCAGTCATTTCTGCAAAAGGATTCCCGACCAAGTATTGACTATTGAGTGCATAACTGAACATAATTATTTGAAGGTTGACTCTTTTTTTTGTATTAAAAACACTTCTTTTATTGGTCGGATGAAATATGCTAATTTTTTTAGACAGGAATTTGGGGTTTTCATGAGCTGTATGCCAAAATCATCAGTATTAAAACAATAAAAGACCTGAAATATTTCAGTTGGTGTGCAATGAATCTAAAATATATGAAAGTTTAATTTTTATCATTACATTATGGAAAATAATGAACTTTATCACAATATGCTAATTTTTTGAGAAGGACCTGTATATGTGCAAAAAAAGAGAGACTTCGGTTTGGTCTACTTTATAGGGACTAAAACTCCCCGCAAGACTAGTAAAATCTGATATCACTTTGTGCAGCAAATGGTCCTCACGAGTAAAACTGCTTATTAAACAAACTCAGTAATGTGCTGATGAAAAAGTGAAAGGTTTATGAGTGGTAGGGGGTATAAAATATCATTAGCTCATTATAAAAACAATGCAAGTCAATGGAAAGTCCACATCGTGATTTAAAAAATCAAATGCGTATTTGTGCAATAGGCTTCCTATCTTTATAGTCTGACACACACACGGTTTCTAATATGGAATTCCGAAGCTGCCAAACCCGTCCGGCTCTGTAAATGAGATGTCTGTGTGCAGTGGTGTGCTGCAGAGGGGCGGAGCTTGTGATTTACACCCAGCAGTGTGTGTGTGTGTGTGTGTGTGTGTGAGTCTGCAGGAAAAACAGTGCTGTCAGCCCGCGCGAGCGCTCACGGTGCCGGAGAGCTGCTGACGGAGGAGAGGGATGCTGAAGTGTTGAGTGGGAAATGCAATACTCAAAACACCTAATAGCTGTCCAAGTATGTCTTTAACCTCACGAAAAGAGACTTCTGCACGCTGAAATGATACAGATGTCTTTCTAGTACCAGTGTGTTTATGTTTCTCATCATTTTATTTTCTGCTTCAGCACACACAAACACACGCGTATATGGTGTACTACTATCTGTCTTACATTCCCATTTGTGTGCAACAGTAATGGAGCTCCGCTGTGTTCCTCGGCCTTGTATCGGTTCTGAGCTGACTCAGCATCTCTGCACCCCTTCTGTTGGCTCGCAGCCTGGGTTGAAACATCAGCAGGCGCACTGTCTAAAAGCATGACTGTGCAATTTTATAACCGGCAAAAAAGCAACTTTGTTGGGCTTTACAATTACATTCGAGCGTCTAGTGTTTCACTGCGGCAGGCGATTCCCTATCAGAGTCAACAACGACATATGAGACGGATGAGTTACTAGAGATGATGCACAAACAGCTAGCTCAACATATTATAGCCTATAGGATATAACTCAAACTAGGCTATATATAGTATATATACACACTCTGACACATACACACGTTATGTTTTGATGTTTTATGGGGACTTTCCATAGACATTATGATTTTTATACTGTACAAACTGTATATTATATGCCCTTACACTAACCCTACCCCTAAACCTGCCCATCACACACAACTTTCTGCATTTTTACATTTTCAAAAAACATCACTTAGTATGATTTATAAGCACTTTTCCTCATGGGGACCAAAAAAATGTCCCACAAGAACAACTATTTCGGATATTGCCATCTTTGTGGGAATTTTGTCTCCATAATGTAGGGTTTACCAGGCCCCACGCACGCGCACGCGAGCACACACACACACACACACACACACAGCTATATTGTCTGAACCCTGAATCTTGAGCATCAGTGTCATTAGCAACAGTCCACTTTCCTCTCTTGATTGTCAGATTTTCAATTGATTATCTATGATTTGTATTGATCTAGTCTGCAAAAGCTTTTTGTATATAACCTCTGACATATGTGTACAGGATTTCCCATCATGCCCCACTTCTTCCAGTATGTGTCTGCTCATTTTACTCGTCATGGCTATAATCTGGATAAAGTTGAAGTGCAGTTTTTAATGGCATTATTACTGCAGTTGTATTGGATTAGTCTTATATAATGATATTAATATCATAACATCTTGGTGATTTGCGCCCTTTTTTTAATTGATATCAGTATTCAATATGCTTTTTTAGGTCCTTTGGGTACTTCCTTATGAAGAAAGTATAATTGTTATTTTAGGAAGGCCCTTGGTTTTTTATTAAGCATTGAACTAAAATGACTCCCTTGTGGACTCTAAAATGAATTAGAAAAATTCTTATAACCTTGGTACTTTGCTGCATTATTGAACCTTCCTGACAACAGAGGGCAAATCCCCAATGCATCAACTGAGGCTGACGGCGGATTGGCTGCTTCGTCTTTCCATCTGCACACATTCAAGAATGTCAATGTCTAAAGCAAAGGAAAAAAATGACACTTTATTAGAAAGTGATCAGTTAAAGAGGTGAACGTTACAGTAATATGGGACAGATGTTTTCCATAAATATTATATTGGTTTTTAGCCTTTCGATCCGTCTATGATGTTCATTTTAATTTGAATAGAAGTGCATATACTAGGCTACTTTATTTTGTGTTTAGCAGTGCTTTATGTCCCACAGTGTGGGATTTTATAATTCATCTGTATATTCAAAAACATTTTTTTAATAAAAACTTTTATAATTATCTTATCATTATTACGTATGCAGTTTATTGACTGCAAATGAATGCAGAGACTACATGGAATGTCTGTACTTGTAAAAGTACTGTGTATTTATTGTTCAGCCAGTGATGAATATTTGTTATATCTGTGCAAATATTTTGTTCAATCTTTGCACAAATTGCTTTTCTCTTCTTTGCATTGCTCTGCAAGTGCAATACACCTGAATTTGTTTAAGTTCGTAAGTAAAAAATAAGATAACGTGAATTTTGCTTCAAATTCAGTTTTTGGCAAAGAAAGTTGCACTTTTTGTGGGTTGCTCCAAAGTTCACAGCAAACATAAGTTAGAATTGGGATAGATAGATAGATAGATAGATAGATAGATAGATAGATAGATAGATAGATAGATAGATAGATAGATAGATAGATAGATAGATAGATAGATAGATAGATAGATAGATAGATAGATAGAGCGGATAAAGTCTTATCTGCAATACATGCAAAAAAGTGCATCAAGTGCACTAAACAACATGTGATGCAGAAAGTCACAGCCTCTTGACTTCAACTTGTATACAATTTTAAAAGACTTCGACCACTGAGGTGAATTGCTGAACAACCCAACGACCCAAGGTCCTCCTCCATCTTCATCGATTGTCCAAGGGGAGGGTGGTGCTCCTGCCTCGTTGACAAAGTAAGCGCGTATAAATAGAACAGGACCGAACACACCGTGCCCTCATCACACCACCAATTCACAAGCACCGTTCACCATGGACATGATAGGTACCTCCTCCCGCCGAAGAGCTCTGGAGACACGGACTATCCGCCAACCGTCATCCACTATGCGCTCGTGGGCTAAAAGCAGTCCTCTGTCTTTCAAAAGAACCGCAAATGTGACTGCATCAAGATCTGCGTACAGTCCTTCCGTGCTCGCGTCTCCGGAAGGGTTCGAGTTGAGCGCGGCGCTCAACGGAGATCCGGCGCGTCATAACGAGAAGGAGCAGCTCCATGGGCTCAACGATCGCTTCGCCAGCTACATCGACAAGGTTCGCTTCCTCGAGGAGCAGAACAAGCAGCTCGAGGCTGAGATCCAAGCGCTAAAGCAGCAGAAACTGTCGCAGTCCCTGCAGAGCGATGGGTACGACCGCGAGCTCCAAGACCTGCGCTGCGCCCTGGAGCAGCTCCACAAGGAGAAGGCGCAGATCCTGCTGGACACAGACCACATGGATGAGGATCTCCAGCGGATCCGGGAGCGCTATGAAGATGAATCCAGGCTCAGAGAGCACATGGAGGCTGCGATCCGAGGCATGAAGAAAGACAAGGACGACTCGGTTCTGATGAAGATGGAGTTGGAGAGGAAAGTCCAGTCGCTCGTGGACGAAATTGACTTCGTGCGGCAGAACCACGAGGAGGAGATCAGCGAGCTTCTGGCTCAGCTTCAAGCCGCGCAGGTGCCGGTGGTGGAGATGAGGGACCTCCAGAAGACCGACATCACCTCTGCGCTCCGGGAGATCCGCGCGCAACTGGACGGGCTCTCCTCCCAGAACCTCCAGCAGGCTGAAGAGGTGTTCCAGTGCCGCTATGCCATGCTGACGGACGCCGCGGAACAGAACAAGGATGCTATAAAGTCAATACGGGACGAGATCGGTGACTACCGCCGTCAGATCCAAGCCAAGAACGTTGAACTGGAGACTCTTCGAGGCACCAAAGATTCACTGGAAAGGCAGCTGCATGATATCGAAGACCGCCACAACACTGACGTTGCCAGTTATCAGGTCAGCTTATCAAGACCTAATAAAACATTTAAAACCGAATCCACTATAAGTTTAATTCAATAATAATATGAATACAAATTATTACTAATTAATTAATTAAAAATTCATAAGAATGTTTTTTATCATTTATATCAGATGTGACAGAAATCCTGCAGCCCTAGTAGCTATAATTAAGTAAGTATGCGCACTGCACCGTTGCGCGTAAATACGCACGCAGTGCGCAAACCACCTGTAAGATAATTGCTTTTCCGTGATATGAACGATGGAATTTATTTATTTTTAGAGTTTATTTATTTATTAATTCTAATGTCTTAAATGGAAGCAAATGCACATGGCTGTGTTGCAAAACAGAAAGCACCCACGATGGCCAAAATTGCTGCTTACTAGGTTTTGAAACCCAGCCATAATTTCACAGGTGGTTGCGCACTGCGTGCGTAATTATGCGTAGCGTGCAATGCGCGTACTAGCCTACTTACTATTCACTAGTGCTGCAGGACTTCGTTTTAGTGGTTTGTTGTGTTTCTCCCAGGCCGGTTATAAATTATAAAAGACAAATCATAAAACAGATGCTACATTTGGTACAATGAGAACATTAGCCACCAAATAAGATCTTTTATAAATGTAGTTGTTTCCTCTGTAAGGGAAAAGATATCTTTTTTTGTCAATACTGAGTCATAATTTCTTGCTGTTAAATTTTAAGTGTAAACTAATGAATTTATCACATCTGCTTTAACAGGAAATGATTCATCAATTGGAAAATGATCTAAAAGGAACAAAATGGGAAATGTCTCGTCATCTTCGGGAATATCAGGATCTGCTCAATGTCAAGATGGCACTGGATGCTGAAATCGCAGCTTACAGGTAGTGTTGTGCAGAACATTACACTTTCTTTGCTCTTTTTCATGTCTTGTTTGATTTATGACAAACTTTTCTCTTTTAAACGCAGGAAACTACTGGAGGGCGAGGAGACTCGCTTCCGTACCGTCTCTGGAAGTATTTCAAGCGCTGCGTTTGCGTACAGCCAGCCCAGATCATCTAAGGTCAAACATAAAATAGTGGAGGAGATCATTGAGGAGACTAAAGGAGAGAGTGACATCGATGATGACCTGGCAGAGGTGGCAAAAGAGGTGGCAGAAGAAGCTGGTGAGGGTGAAGAGGAGAAAGAGGAGGAGGAAGAGATTGTTGCCGCCAGTCAGGCCAAAGTGAGTTCCGCCGCTCCTGAGGGAGAAGAAGAGGAAGAGGAAGGAGAAGATGAGGAAGAAACAGCAGAAGAAGGAGAGGCGGCTGAGGAGGAAGAGGAAGAGGAGGAAGAGGGTGAGGAGGAAGAGGCACAAGTGGAAGTGATTGAGGAAACAAAACTGTGTGGAGACAAATCGCCAACATCAGAGAAAGAAGGCAGTGACAAAGAAGAAGAAGCAAAGGTAGAGGAGGAGGACGCTGAAGAACAAGAGGCGGAAGCGACAGAACAAACCAAAGATGACGAGGAGGAGAAGGAAGAAGCTGATGAAAAAGACGACGAGAAAGAGGAGACCAAATCCGAAGGAGATGAAGAGAAGAAAGACGAGTCTGGAGGAGAGGAAACAAAGGCTGATTCCGAGAAGAGCGACAAAAAAAGCGATACAGAGGAAGACGAAAAGAAATCCCCCGTAAGTGAAGAAAAAGACAAACCAGAAAGCCCAGCCGAGGAAAAGCAGCAAGAAGAAAAACAGGAAGTTGTTCGCAACGGTGAGCAGACGAGCCCGGCCAAAGAGGAAGCTAGTCCGAAAGAAGAGGTCCAAACCAGAACAGTGGAGACCATCACCAACGGAGACAAGCAGAGCAAAGCAGACGCGGTGAAAGAGGAGGAGAAGGAGCCGGAGGAAAAGCCTCAGGAGGCAAAGAAAGTCCCCAAAAAGGTGGAGAAAGTCACTCCGCAAGCCAAGAAGGAAATCAAAGGAAAAGACTGATGCAAATGATTCTGATGGGAAATTAGTTATAATCAATTGTTAGAAATAATTCTATTTGATGCAAAATGTGAAAATGACGCAGCTAGCAAAAATAATTGCATGCGTGTTAAATGATTAACTTGCATGTGTGGTTTGGGAGGACGTCGCCATGCTGAGCTGTTGCGTCTGAAACAGAAATTATAGCGCGTTTGAATTAAAGTGCAAACACATTACGCTGCTAATGACTCGAACCATCTCTGTTAACGAGACGTTTCACCGTGATGTGAAGTTCTCCAGCCGCTGTTTGGCAATAATGGTGCTACAACAATATCATCATTCGCAGGCGCACTTTGAGCAGAAACTCCTTCATTTCATCTGTATACTTCTTGCCTTAAGACACAATGCACTGAACCAATGATAAGAGTCGGTTTGTTAACGCAAAACACAAAAGCTGTTAACAATGATACTGTGAAAGCCAACTGGTGCTGCTCTTTGCAATATCACATCAATCAATAAAAGCTCATCAAGTCCTTACAAAGCTTCTAGTGTGTTTGCATTTATACTGTACACACAAGTTTGGGGTCAATAAGACGGAAGTCTCTTATGCTCACCAAGGCTTTGATTGAGTAGAAACAGTAAAATATTATTACAATATTAAATAACTGTTTTCTAGTTGAATGTATTTTAAAATGTAATTTATTCTTGTGATCAAAGCTGAATTTTCAGCATCATTACTCCAGTCTTCAGTGTCACATGATCCTTCGGAAATAATTCTAATACTCTCTAAAAAATGCTGGGTTGTTTCAACCCAAATTTGGGTCAAATATGGACAAACCCAAATGTTGGGTTAAAAATGCAATTAAAAAATTTACCGTTGAAAGTGAAAGTTGAAGTTGGGTTAAAATTTGAAATGACATTTTTAACCCAACATTTAGGTTTGTCCATATTTTACTCAAATTTGGGTTAAAACAACCCAGCATTGTTTAGAGTGTATGATAATTTGCTGCTCAAGAAACATTTCTTATCATCAATGTTAAAAACAGTTGTTCTGCTTAATATTTTTGTGGAACAGAATAATCAATTTTAATGCATTCTTTCTGAATAAAAATATTATGGACATTCGCACTGCAACGATTTAGAAACAAATAGCACATAGATGATTGGTGATAATCACAAAAATCAATATAATTTCAACATGGAAAATTCACATGTACCCCTAAATGATACATTTACCAATAAAATATTTATTGTCATGTGGATAAAGGGCCTTGTCAGACACAGTGCACTGCAAAGTTACCATTGCATGATTATTGTATATAATCTATCTAATTGCTTTCATTAAATGTTTCCTACATATTAACAATATTAAGATCACAAATTTGCACAACAACCATTCATTATCCTTCCACTAGATAGAAGATAAAGTCCTTTACATGTAAACTAAGATTAATAGTTGGCAATAAAACCTTCTTTTTTTCCACCTGGGCAAATGGAAAGAATGACAACTAGCATGACAGTGAAGCATGACTTAACTCACAAACGTTTCATCACACCGTGGACATTAATCAAAAGAAAAAAATCAGACGAGACCATCTCTAAACCCCCTCCATTAGTGTATCTACATGTCAGCGTATAGTTGTCAATTAGGGTAATGGAGAACATGTGCTGCACTGGCTTGTTAGAGCTCGAGCCGAGTCCTCTGGCTCATCAGGGAACCGAATTTGTGCGGAAGGATGTCGCTGAGGGGGCAGTAATTGGATTTGTATGCTAAAACACACTAATTCAAATGATAAATCAATAGAGATTTGTGCTGACCACTGGGTATGACTGAGGATCACATCTGGGGTGACAGTGCATTGCTGACACACTTATCCAACACACTTAGTGGTGAACTCCGGTGGATTCGAACCTAAAACTTCCCTGTTAACAGCCCAGATTTGAACCACTATGCAACACTCACCTCGTATATATGTGCATTAGAACCATAAGCTTTGCCTGGACTCTGCTCTGTGCTGTATGGGCGCAAAATAGTCACATCACATCAGTAGTGAATCACTTTAGCTGAGCTCTGAGGTTTCTTGCATTATATTGATTACAGCTGTCATGAATAAATAATCAATATGCAGCGCTATATATACTTGAGTTAATGGCTCCGTACTTGCAGCTGTAGTGTACCTGAATAGATTATACTATTCTCTCAGTATTTCTACAGTATGCCTGATATATAGAGAGAGAGCAGAGCAATATCGTATCCCACAATGCCCTGTTCTAAACCTTTAATGCCTGGCATTACAAATAAACTGGAAGAAATTTTCAACATTTAATCAACAAGTTCCGACAAAACATGCAAAGTAACCTTCTTCTGAAATGATAGACACCACTCACTGAATTATGCATGCCACATAATTTGTTCAAGTTAGTTATTCTGTACTACTAGCAGCATACAGTGTACAGCACAGTTAAGCAGGCAGAAAACAACAACACAGAGAAACGCACAAGGTTGTTTGTTAAGATTTTATTGGAAGGCAATGAGCCTTTCTTTGAGGATCTGGTATAAGGCATTTTGTATACTAAGCACACTTGTGTTCGCATAGGCAGTTGATAGTGTGATTAATGCTGAAGGCAAACAGACACAATGCTCAAATAATAACATTTGTTTGCATTTTAATAAATAAACATCAATTAAACCAACACAAGAAACCTGCAATCACAATTTCCCTGCCAAGCGCAAACATAAGGCATGTGTTCATGCATAGGCTACTCTGGCTTTAGGCGATCTCTATGGTTGCATTTATTATTGTAGTTTGCGTCTGAATGTGAAATGGAGCAGCTGGACACAGTAAACTTGTCGAGATGTGTGAGATAAACGAGGTTTGATCACCTCCAGCTAGCACCAGGGGTTTGGTCCAGTGGGTTTACTTCTCTTTCGGCTTGCCTTTCTCAGCTTTACTCTCTTTCTCGTCGTCGTCTCCTTTCTTTTTCTCCTCTTCTTTTCCTGTATCATCCTTGTCCTCCTCTTCTTCTTCTTCACCTTTCCCTTCTTCTTTATCACCTTCTTCACCCTCTCCTCCTTCCTCTTTTTCTTCCTCCTCTTCCTGTTCTCCCTTATCCTCACCTTCATCCTCTGCTCCCTCTTCACCTCCTTCTTCACCTGTAAAAGAGACAACAAATGTTGATAGATAGATAGATAGATAGATAGATAGATAGATAGATAGATAGATAGATAGATAGATAGATAGATAGATAGATAGATAGATAGATAGATAGATAGATAGATAGATAGATAGATAGATAGATAGATAGATAGATAAATAGAATTTATATGTTATATATAAACACATTTTAACAAACAAAAAAATGTAGGTACAAAATGGTAATGTAAAAAAGTTTAATAAAAAATCTAGTTATAATGAACTTTTTTTCACTAAATGAAGATAAATAAAAATAAATAAAAAGGGAAAAATATGGGGGGGGAAATATTAATGATTTTAATTTACTGTATATAATGCACCTATGTGTCAAACATAATAAATAGAAACAATTTTTATATAAATTAAATTAAAATATATCTATATAAAAAAACAAATGATCCTCACCCTCTTCTTTTTCCTCTTCCTCTTTTTTTTCTTCCTCCTCCTCATCCTCCTTCTCACCCTCTTCCTCCACCACCTCCTCCTCTTCCTCCTCCTCCTCTTCTTTCTCTGGACTTGCCCCAGCTTCCTGCATCTGACTGGCTTCTATAATCTCATCCGGAATGGCGGAGTAGCTCATAAATCTGGTTCCCAGAAGATAGGGGGCGCCAGAGGTCAGACTGGCCTGCACAGAGAACACGGGACGGCCGAAAGACGGAGTGGCAGCGATGGAGGGAGAAAACACACTGGACATACCGCCAATACCGCCCACGTTGAAGCGGGTTTCTTCTCCTTCCAGAAGTTTCCTGTTGGAATGTAAATAAACTTTTTATTTAAGGATCTAAAGAAGTTGTCAAGATTAGGGAGGATCAAATGTAATCAATCCAAAACCCATATTAATTGATTGGGTTATATATCAAATGCAAAACTTGACATTACCAACCTGTAAGCAGCTATTTCAATGTCCAAGGCCATTTTCACATTGAGAAGGTCCTGATATTCTTTAAGGTAACGGCCCATTTCACTCTTCATGGACCTTAGCTCATTCTCCAAGTCACCGATGTTATCCTGTCCAGACAAAAAAATAAAGACACAAGTTTAGATTTTGGAGTACAACAGTGCATATAGAGCATTATTGAAGGATATAGCTATCCTGTAGCTCAAACAGTAGAGCATGGCACTAGCAAAACCAAGGTCATGGGTTCAGTTCCCAGGGACAGCAAGAACTGATCAAATGTGTGCCTTGAGTACAATGTAAGTAACTTTAAATAAAAGCCTCTGCTAAATGCATAAATGTAAATTGAGTGCATGCAGTTATGATTCTGACCTGTAGCTCAGCGATCTCTGAGCTCTGTTTCTCCTCGACCTCTTGCAGTTGTCTCTCCAGAGCTTGGTTCAGGCCCTGGCATGCTTCGATCTCCAGGTCTCGAGATTTCAGCAGGCGACGGTACTCCCCGGCCTCGTCTTTAGCGGTGCGGATGTTCTCCGTGTGTTTGGCAGTGTCCTCCGTCATGGTGCTCACCTTCCCGCGGAACCAGTCCTCTGCGGCCTGGATGTTCTGCTGAGCCAGGCGCTCGTACTGACCTCGGATGTCTCGGAGAGCCACAGAGAGATCCGGTTTGGCCACTTCCATCTCCACCGACACCTGGGCGCTGTACTGCACCTGGGCTTGGAGCTCAGCGATCTCGCTTTCATGGAGCCTCTTGAGGAAGGCCAGCTCGTCCAGTAGAGTATCGGCTCGTTTTTCCAGCTCAGACCTGGCCAACGCTGCATCGTCCGCCCCCTTCCTGGCATCCACCATCCGGCCTTCGGCTTCCTCACGGGCCAGGACTACTTCTTCATAGCGACTCTGCAAGTCCTTGAGTGCGTCTTCCAGTCGGTCCCGCCTTTCTTGAGCCGCTTGGCGCTCCCTACGGGCCTCGTCCACCGCCGCGCGCAGTTCCCTCGCCTCTTGCTCGTACAGACCCCTGAGGCGGGAGGGTTCGCAGTGCCTCTGGCGCAGCAGGAGCAGCTCTGACTCCAGGGAACGGTTCTGGAGCTCCAGGCCATGCACACGCTCAATGAAGCTGGCGAAGCGGTCGTTGAGGCCCTGGAGTTGGGCCCTCTCCTGCGTCCGCACCACTTTAAACTCCGAGCTCAGCTGAGAAGCCTGGCTCAGGTCCAGCTCTGAACGCTGCAGAGCTGCAGAGGAGGAGAGAACCGAGGCACGGGACGGGGATGAGTAGGTTGAGTAGACAGATCGAGAACGACTGCTTGCTCCGCCGAAGGGCGTCCCGCTGCGCACCACCACGCGTCTCCTCTGCACAGACGGGAGATAAGGGTTGTAACTCATTGAGCTCATGGTTGTTGAAGAGAGAAGAGAGCAGAGGTTTCCGCAGTGCTGCTGCTGTTGTGGAGAGAGGTCTGCGAGGATGTACCGCCACTGGCACGGCTTTTTATAGCAGGAGGAGAGACTCTGACGCAGAGCTTTTTACTGACAGCGTGAATCCATTACCTTTCAGTGCGGGCTGGGATGGGTTTCTCAGGAGTGGAGGGGCGGATTACAGAAATGGATTGGCAATGCAATGCGAAATAGAGAGAGAGAGAGAGAGAGAGAGAGAGAGAGAGAGAGAGAGAGAGAGAGAGAGAGAGAGAGAGAGAGAGAGAGAGAGAGAGAGAGAGAGAGAGAGCACAGCAAAGAGGGCAATGAGGACAAAGCTTTTAAGAGCTTGCAGAGGAAAAACACAATTTAGGCTTCATTGCACAGATCTAACAGGGGATATAACTGTTAAATTCAGCCTTTAATATTAGTTACCAGCAGTTCTCTTTGCATTTAAACTGTTTCTAGTCGTGAGATGAGAAATCTGCATAATATTTTCACATTTGCCATCTTAAAATGTTGGCAAAATTAGTGTGAAGGAAAGGCTTGTGCAAGTGTGTATATTCACACTTGGCTCCACAGGCCACTAAAATCTCAGTCACTAGATGCTCTAAAGGCAAATCTTACAATCTGCACATAAACATTAACAGAAGGACTTACACACGTAAATGCTTCTCTCTAGTGGTGGTTGAAGGTATTGTGAAATAATTCAAGTCAGAGTACATCGATGTGAAATAATGCAGAGTCATTGAAGAAACTGACAACTACACAATAACCTGAAATAATAATAATAATAATCTGTCAATCACAAAAAATAGGTCCCTAAAGAACAATATTTCACACATTTTTAATAGATTCTGACAGAAATGGATTTAGATTATTGGACATTTTTGAGCAACCTTCTTATACTTCATTTTCCCTTTCTTTATTCTTGCTTAACAGTTAACTTTAAATATCAGACAAACATCTTCATGATTGCTAAAGTCTCTTCAACAGCCAGACTAATGCAGGAGATGAAGTGATGATGACAAAATGAGTTTATTGAACATTCTTAGTGTCTTTGTCAAAGCTCAAAACAAATTCAACAAGTCTTATTATGCGTAACATTGTGTAACATTGCATTTCGTTTTAATAAAGAAATGGGCACTGCTTTTTAACTCTTATGGCCTTAACATTGCATTTCGTTTTAATAAAGAAAAGAAAACAGAATGTGTCATTATTGGGTTCTTCAATGACATCCATCATGTCAAATGTTGTACATATCCGAATAAAGGCACTGGTCAAAAGCATATTTCTGCAACAGTGCTCTTTGGGCAAAGCAATGAAAAATTACTGCTTCACAACATCATCCTGTTACATTAAAAACCTTGAAATGGAGACATTCTCTTACCTCTTACTCATGAAGACAAATATCCCTTGAAACCACACAATCATAAGATTAAACAATTATAGAAAGTAAATGTAGTGCTGCAAAATATAAATGCATAAATTGATAATAATATTAATAATAAAAAGATGAATAAATGATTAAAGGATAAATGTAAGTAAAAAAATAATACGAATAAATGATAAATCAAATGACTAATGATTATAAATTATTATAAAATAAAATCATATACAAAACAAAGAAAATAAAACACAATAGGTGTATGATTGCTCTCTTAAAGTAACACACACATGAGAATCCCTATTCAACATCACACAAACAGCCTGCAGTTATTTTACAAAGCTCTAAGGTGCACAACAATAAAGCATAACGAATTTATAACATTGTTTTATAATAGTGTATAATTGTGTGTAGGCTACTGTAGTTTATAATAGTGTATCATTGTGTATACTGTAGTTTATAATAGTGTATCATTGTTTTATATTATTGTTTTGTTTTTGTATTTCAGGAGCTCAGGTTTTCAACAACAATGACAGTATTCATTTGATTTGTTAAATATTCATGTTTAAATTCATATATAAAATGTTAAAATATTAAGTAGTAGTTGACAAGTCTCAGGGATTAAAAGTGCAGTAAGCAATTATTTGAGAAACACCGTTGATATTTGAAATCAACACTCAAACAAACACACCCCTCCCTTCATTGCTCCGCCCCCAAACTAACAAACACGCTATGCAACACAGGCAACCGCTAACAGCTGGCGCATCAGGCAGCTCGCACAAGTATGTATGAATCAGCTGTGATCAACAACAACAGCATACAAAAGCGTATCTTGGTTCTGTGAAATATAGCAACCATTATATCCACAAATCGAGCAGAAACAAAGCAACCTGGGAGTCCGTTTTCAGCCCTTAAAGGGTTAGTTTACCCAAAAATGAAAATTATGTCATTAATGACTCACCCTCATGTCGTTCCAAGCCCGTAAGACCTCCGTTCATCTCCGTTCACATTTTAGATGTAGTCCGAGATCTTTCTGTCCCTCCATTGTAAATGTATGTACGGTATACTGTCCTTGTCCAGAAAGGAAATAAAGACATCATCAAAGTAGTCCATGTGACATCAGTGGGTTAGTTCGAATGTTTTGAAGCATCGAAAATACATTTTATAATTTCCTCCATCAGTTGTATTTAACTCCGGAGAAGATTCATAAGTTCAAACCTGAGCTATCTGATGCATGCTTCCGCTGTACAATAGAGGTGGGCACCTTCCTACACTGTACTTGGTCGTGTGTAAAAGTAAGAGATTTCTGGATTGACTTTTGTAGTGTCTTGACTGATTACACAAATTTCATTACCGGTTGACCCAGAGTTTTGTTTTTGCTGGGGAACTTCATGAAAATTGATAAAATATTAAACAGGTTTCAGAAACATTTTCTGGAGATAGCTCTGGCAGTGGCTAGAAAATGCATTGCTGTCTCATGGAAGTCTGATTCCCCTCTATCTATAACTAGGTGGTATTTAGAAATGAATAGATGCGTGCCATTAGAAAAAATAACATATAGCCTTAGAAAGGGATACAATACTTTTATTAAAATCTGGCGACCCTATCTAGATCATGTGGATAATGTGATATTAGAATGTGACTGACCTCGAAGACATTGTTACATTACATTTCTACTGTAGAATATTGGAGCACCCTTTTGGGGAGGGGGAGGGGGATTGTTTTTCTTTTTCTTTTTCTTATTTTACTTGTTCTTCTGTTTTTGTTTTTGTATACTGAAAAACTGAAAATAAAGTATTCCAAAAAAAAAAAGAAAATACATTTTGGCCCAAAAATAACAAAAACTACGACTTTATTCAGCATTGTATTGTCTTCCGGTTCTGTTCTGGATCCGCGTTCAGTGCCGCTGCTGACGTGTCTCTGGTGCGTCCGTGTATTCGGGTTCAAATAAATATGGCTGGGCAAAAAAATGCAAGTCTTCCTCTGTGTCGAAATCCTTAGACATGTTTGCGAAGATTGTTTTGTTTCCAGCGTGCGTCTCCCTCAGACTGTAAACGAAGCTCGGGCGCACCAGACACACGTCAGCAGCGTCTTGCGTCAGAGTGAACGCGGATTGACAACAGAACCGGAAACTTTATGGCAAGCCATTTTAGCATTTAAAAGCTAAGTTTGACTATCCGGAATTAACATTGTAGATATCAACAACGTCTTTCTGACTAGTCGTAATTACATTTTGGATAGTTGGAATTGTCATTCAAGATATCTGTAACGTAATTGTGACTAGTCGAAACGACAGATAGAGATATCTGTAATTCAGTTTTGACTAGGCAAAACTGAATTACAGATATCAGCAATGACGTCATTGAAAACGACATTCAACTCGTCACACATCTTAAATGACAATTGCAGATATCTGTAATTCAGTTTTGCCTAGGCAGAATGAAAGTTAAAGATATCTCAAACGTCATTATAACTAGTGCAAATTATTGTGCATGATGTAATTTCCCCTCCCCACCATAATCAAAAAAGAAGTGGGTTAATTTCCTTATTTGGAAGAAGAAAAAAGCTGCATTGGCTTTAATCGAAAAAAAAAAAAAAAACAATAAAAAAACACCAGAAAATGTTTACATGTTTCCAGCATGACACAAATTGTATTCATTTGCATTAGCCAGGGTCTCTCAAAAATATTGGCAACATGCAATGTTTGCCATGCATTTCTATGTTGTCACCATGCTTAAAATTAGTAGATTATTGTTGACGAAAGATTTATGCTTGAGAGAGATTCACACTAATTCACTTTAATGAAGATGCTTACATGCATGCAATTCTTGCCATGGAAGTGCAATAACATTTGATTGATTGAACTTCCTTAGATGAGAAAAAACAGTTCTCAGATTTTTTTTTTTTCCCCACAGTAAAAATCCATGATGAGCTAACAGCATTAAAAAGACGATTAAAAACTCCTTCACCCTCGACATGGTGCTAATTAAAAGTGAACAGTTAACAGGTGCTATGTGATTTGATGATTTGAACAACAACACGCTCTGCTCCCGCCTAAAGTGGGATGCGGCCGAGCCTAATTTGCATACAGATATCTGCAACTTCATTTCGCCTAGTCAAAACTCTAATTCAAGATATCTGTAATTACATTTTGACTAGGCAGAATGAAAGTTACAGATATCTCAAATTTCAGATATCTCTAATCAAAATTCATTTTAAGATATCTATAACTTGATAATAGATATCTACAATTAAATTATGACTATCCCTAACTCCAGTTTGAGATATCTACAATGCCATTTTGACTAGTTATAATTCCAGTAACAGATATCTACAACATACTTTCGCCTAGTCCAAACTTAATTTAAGATATCTGAAAAGGAACATGTAGATATCTTGAATTGAGGTGAATTAAAGATATCTTGAATTGGAGTTAGTACTAGTCATAATCAAATTGTAGATATCTTAAACTAGAATTACAGATATCTACAATTCAGTTGCAGATATCCGTAATTCACATAGTGGATATCTGCAACTGAATTGTAGATATCTGTAATGACAAACCCCATACAAATGAATGGCAAAAGTGATGTCATTTGTCCTAGGAAGAATGTCTTTGTGGATATCTGAAATGATAATTATGGATAGGAAGAATGTAATTGCGGATATCTGAAATGTTCTTTTTGACTAGGCAAAACTGAATTACAGATATCTGCAACACATATCCAGTCTAGCTGTTAAATGTTAAAATGGCTTGCCATAAAACTTTAGGCTTGTTTGAGATGAGCAAAATCTGC